AGAAGGCGAGTTCGTTGTGTTTTTTTTTTTTTTAAAAAGAACTGTAGAAATTGTTCATTGTTATACGAAGGATAAAGGAAGAGAAACAGAGAGAAAAAGAGGCTCAAGAAAGATTTTACGAGTGTTCCTTGGAAGATCGGAGGGGATTTTCGAGAGGAAATCGTGGAAGAATCGCGCGAAGGATGTCGGATAATTCTCTACGCCGGAAAACGAGGTCTGCCTCGATCTGCGCCCCTGGATTCTCCAGCATGGAGCAAATGTTGGAGGCGATGCCTCCCTCGGGCGCCAGGGAAAGGGATAAAGTGGACAGGGAGAAAGACAGTGGAAGCGGTACTCCCGACGGAAGTACGCCGACCAGGAGGCGCAGACCGGCGACCAGGTCTCAGAGTGCTCGTGTTTCCGGCGCGAATAAGAGCATCCGTCGTCGAGCTGCCGCTCAAGGTAATCACGCGATCGTACACTTCTTTTTTTTCTTTTCTGAAATGCGTTTGAGGGATTTATTTATAATGGAGATTTTGTTCGATGGGCGCAAGGTGGACGTGTCCTCTCTCGCAAACTTTTTGAAAAGATCAAAAAGAAATGATGAAGAGGATTGGATGGTGTGTGAAAGATTGGGGAATAAACTTTGAGATTGATCCAATATAGGATTCTTGATTTGATGCGTTTATTTTTTCGTTGTGATAAATTTAAATTATTGGAATTATTTTAAGAAGAGTGAATTAAGAAAATTATAATAGAATTATGTTAACATTTGCATCATTTGTTATTACATATAACAAATTATTTATATACGTAAAATTGTAGACAAGGATTTAAAATTCGGCAAAGATTGTTTATAAAGTCTTTGATTTGATCGATGAATTTGTTTTTTCGAATGTTTATTTAATTCCATTTAATTTGCCTCAATGTTTCAAATTTTCAAATTCTCTCTTTTTTTTTATATGATCTAAACAACCGATCGATTTATAGTAGTTATTTTACGCGAAAAAGCAATTTGAATTAGACAAATATCGAGTGAAAATATACACGCATAACTGGCGTGTTCGAGCACATGTTACATTCCCTTTACATTGCTCTGTATTATTTGTAGAGTTGCCAGTTTCAATCCAATAAGAATATCAATCTATTCGACTAAATGAGTTCAATTTTCATCAATGAATACAATTTAAATTTTAAAATTCGTATTTTTAAAACTTATATTTTTATATACACGCATTGTTCCTCTGCGATTAATTTTCGAACGCGTAACAGAATTTTCGCGTGTCCTCATTGGACGATGTATCGTTACACGTATCGACGAAAGAGGGCAAACGAAACAGCGATAATTCGATGCCTCTCGCAACGCCATCCATTTTTAAACGAACTTCTCGAAGGATGAAGCAGTGCGACTTCGCGCTACACACGCCTTTATTCTTCGATTCAACGTCGCAACGAGAAGAAAGATCACGGAATACGCGCTGCAAATTATAACATCTCGAAGTGCAAGGAGTGAATCAGTTTAAACGAGTCACGTTCGATCATCGTTGTACGTAGCGGATAACGTTTGTGAAAAAAAGATACACGAAGTCGAACGCATGGGAGAAATTTACATGATAATCGATTTTTTATCGACCGCGGCACACGCAGTTTTTTTTATTATTATTATTCCAACGTAAATTTTTAAGGTAAATTTTGCGACGGAAAATCTTAAGTTCAATGGTTTTCGACGATTTTTTTTCAGGAGTTATATATATATATTTGGTTATAATTTTAAACGAAATATTCGTTGTTCGATTAAACAATTTCCTATATTTAATCGAATCGTGAAATTAGGCAAGGAATAAAAAAAATTTGGAATATCAAGTTAACCTTTTGCATAGTGTTCTTTCGACAGAAGATATATTCTATATAAAGGGAAATTATAAATGAAGGAACAAAGAACAAAGTGTATATTATCTCGTGCAAAATCCTACTCACTGAACATGAACATTATACATGTCATTACTTATTCATAATTTCATTCAATTGCAACTTCGATACTGCTATCATCGCAACGGTATCCCTCTATAAATGAATAATTAATTAGCTCAAAATCAGCTCGAACGAAGGAAAATTTCGATCGATAACGATAATTAAGAATTCTAATTCTATCAGAGATAGATGATACGGAGACGGTGAATGCTAATTCTGGCGCGAACGAACCGGTGTCGGCGTTCGATGCCGTTGAATAAGCTTCTTTTAGCCCACGAAACCCTTCGCGAGATCGTATTTTTGTGTTAAATGGGCCGGCCGCTTCCTCTAAGGTGCACTGGCATCGCGGAGGCCCGTTTCGTCTGTCAGTGACCCACTATCCAAACCGACCAGATGCCAGAATAGAAGCCGAAGCGTGATCTCGACGTCCACGCGATATGTAACATCGTCGTTGTCTCTTTTTACGCTTCGCGTTCCACCATCTCGATTATTTTCAATTTCGATACAAGAATTAATTTTTCCTATTAATTTTTTCTCTTCCTTTTTCCTCGTCGAAAATTAACGAAAAAAAGATTTTTCCTCGCCCAGAATGGAAAGTTATTCTAAGAACGAAGAAACGAAATATCGCTCTCGCAAAAGAAAGCGAAAATCTCTTTTTTACAAGCACAATGATAATTTTCACTCTGGAAATTAAATTTTCGCAAAAGGAACTCGCGAGAGTTTCACTTTCAAAGTGAAAGAGATCGTAATTTGAAGAAACGACGGATCTTTTATTTTCCTCGTTACGAATAACGGGATAAAAAGATTTTTATTTTTATACTTAGAGTATGTGTCTCTGATATCTAGTTTTTAATTAATCTCTATTTTTTTGTGTTTTCGTTATCTCACATATGCGAATATGAATTAAAATTTTATCAATTATGATATCATCGCTTTAAGAAGTAACGTGAAAATTTTTCACATAAAAGTAAAAACTAAAAAGAAGATCATAAATACGTTGTTTTACGAATCGAAACATCTTAATGCATGCGAATTTCCATCGATTTTCATCGATCTTCATCGTTTCGATCGGATTACAGGGGACAAAAAAAAAAGAAGAGAAAAAAGAAAAAGAGGAAGATGAAATAAAAGTAATTTGATGTATGACATTTTCATAGTTACGACTTGATATCGCGTTTCGTATCATTTTATCGATATAGATTTCGTCCCACTCATGGGCATACTTTTCCTTCGAGTATTCTTTAAAGGGTTTGAAAAGGCGGTCAGTGGCGGAGGTAAAGAGTGGAAAATTTTCAAAGGATCCACGCTCGAGAAGTTAGTAGAGGGAAGCCATCGCGTGTGAAGCTTGTACGGTTCAGGGTATGGTCAAGAGAGGAAGAGTGGAGAGATAAATGTGTAGATAACGAGAATATTAGAAATCTATCCTTGAGATCTTTTTTCTTTTTATTTTTTTTAATTCCGATTATTTTTAAGAAAGAAAGAAAGAAAGAAAAAAGGAAATAAAAGTTTCATAAAAATCAATTATAGACAATATTCTAACTACTAATAATAAATAAGAAGAATTGATAAAATTACACTCTTGTGCAATTATAAGATTTTGATAAAAATTTTTACAATTTCGAAGATAGAAGGATATATATACATACATATAGTTACGTATATATTGTTTGTTCGAATTTCAGCTGCGCACCATCACCATCACCATCACGAAGGAACGGTCAAGTCCGCTCATTGTAGCAGCGAACCCAGGTTGACCGACAATGATATCAGTCCCGGCCTCAGGAGAAGGGGGAGTCGAAGAGGACAAAGTATGCATCACAGCCATCACAGGAAGAGCAACGCGTTTCTGGACGTTCCTGACACCTCGTCTCAGATGCCCTCGAGGGAAGAGGGGGAGGACGAGGACAGTTACAGGCTCAGAAGTTTCAGTCTCACCAGCAAGGGTAAGTTTACTTTAATAAAAAAAAAAAGTAAATTCAAAAATCCCGTCATCCAAATAAATCATTATTCTCAGATTCGTTCTTCAAATTTTCTCGAGTCTCAAATTAATAATTAATTATTTCGAATCTTACTCATTAATAAATTATTATTTCGATAGATGTTAAACATTTAAGAAAGAATTCTTCTTCAATCTCATGATTCTCTCGATCTGTTCTCAAATTAATCATTATTTTCACACGTTGGACATTTAAGAAAGGATTAACAAAATCTTCATCTATTCTCTCGTTCGAATGATACGTTAGACAATTAACAAAATCAGCCCTCCTTTACCCTTCCTTTCTCTTAGCGAGGTCTGCTCTCAAATTAATCGTTATCTTCGTAAATTAAACATTCAACTCGTGATTAAGAAAAATCTTTCTTCCCTATCCCCTTTTCCAGCAGCGTCTTTCGAAATCATTCATTTTCTTCCTTCGATTCTCGGCGAGAGAATCTTTCCTCGATCCACGGCCGGATACAATTACACGAAAATCCGAAAATCTGGTGAGGGAATCGGGAGCACACTGTCGAGCTGGGATTAACGTGTAAACGACTTTCACGCGCGCGTTCGTTGGCTCTGAAAGCTCGCGTGAAGAGAGAGAGATGGAAGGGGAAGTGGAGGGGGGAGAGAGCAACTGGTTCGAGGAAGTCGTATCCACGTCACAACTATAGATACTCTATTTTCGCTTATCTCGTTTTACCTCTCCGCCGCCTTCCTCTCGCCACCTCTTTCTTTCTCTCGCTACCGCGAAAACGTGTATTTCTGGCACGGTTTCTCCTCCTTTCGAGCGCACACGAGTTTCGAAGCAAAAGCAGAAAGCCAGAAGGCAGAGGCTCGAACGACGATTCGATAACGCTTGATAGCTCTCTCTATCTCTCCTTATTCTCTGATTCTCTCCTCCTCTCTGGATGATCTCTGGAGAGACGAAGTGGAAAAACGAGTAACGGAAACAATAAGAGAACAGCGCGAGAAATTGTCGATCGAGACGGGAAAGAGATCTTCTTTTGTTGAGGAATCGATCGAGGAAGATATATATCGTTTATTTCGATAGATAGATATTAAAGAAAGAAGTGTGTTTGATTTTTATGAATGATGAATAGGAGGATGCTTGGATTATTTTAATTCTTTCGTTTATTAATTCAACGTGTCTTTATTTTTTGATACAATTTTGTCGATAAATTCTTCGCAATTTCATCTTAATTTTTTATAAAATATTATTTTTTAATATGAATATCTCGAGAAAAAAGGGCAGTTTTACATACATTTATCGCCTAATTAGTCAATAACGGGTTAAATTGTTGTGCATACGCGCAATCAAGCGCGAAAGAGTTAATCGCGTTAATTTTATAGTCAATTGAACTATAATTTAAATCGAAAAGTAATTTGTATTATTTCGCATTTTTGTATTTTATTAATTTTCTTTCTTTGTTTTATATATATATTATATATATATAATAACAAACATAGAATATTCTTTTATTCTAGTCATGGCAGTAGAATGTATCACTCTTTGGTCAGACATATTCATTTAACATTGGGCTATTGCCTTACGAGGAATAATTTGAATTAGATTATATTAAAGTTTTCTAAATTTTATGCTAGATGTTATTAAAAGTTAAATTAGAATTAATGTGTTGTTCGAAATTTTAATGAGCGAGAAATTCAATTATTTGTTTTTTCAATTATTATAACAGAGATAAATTTTTTTTAATAAACCATCCTCGTGAGAAATAAAGATGGATATTCTCTATCTTTTATGGTTTTTTTCTTGGTTCAAGAATTTGTTGAAAATTATCCAATAAACTTTATTTTATCTTTGTTACGTTCCCTCGTGGAAAAAAGGAAAGAAAATTTGAATCAAATCTAAGAAAATAAAATCCGTTCTACTCAAAAGTTTTTTCAAATTCTTTTTTATCGCGTAAAAAGAATGTATAAAGATTAGAAGAAGAAAAAGATTCAAGCTTTCTGGGACGCATACTTGGAATTAATTCGAGCGAGATAAAAAATGAACGAAAGGAGGTTAAAAAATATAAATTAATCTTGGATTAAATAACTGAATTAAAAATAATACCAACTACCTTCCCATTTAATCATTTATCCATTTGAAAACGAAATATCTTTTAATCCCGCAGCATTCATAATAAATACATTACACACGATTCTACAATACTTTTCTACAATCCCTTGATATTAAATTTTATTTCATAAAACCCGTTCCAAAATTTATATATTAAAATTTCTCCATAAATTTTCACAATGTGTATTTTTTTTTCTTCTCCTCGATCATTCTTCATTCTTCGTTCCATCCTCATCGATCTTCATCGCCCATCCTCGCCTTCATTATTTTTCTTTTCAAATCGTTTCGTTCGCGAATTTCACTTCGATCTTCGAGAATTCACGTTACGTTATCCGTCGAAAAATTTCTGTCGAAAATATTTCACCACGCCTTTCCAGCCATCGAAATGAATTACCAATGCTGAAAGGGCCAACTCGAACGTTTTTCGAGACGTCTGATCTATTCCCAAACTGACATTCATCCTCCATCCGCCATTTTATGGCTGGCAGAAATCCCTATGAAAACAATTCGATTCACGCGAATATTTGTTGTTCCTTCCTTCCTTCGATCTTTCAGCCTCGATTATTCGGCTGAGAATAATCGTTCTACGAATTTCTCGTTTCTCGAGAATCCATCTTGGATTGGCGTCTTCTTTTTCATTTGGAGGAGTGGAGGAGGAGCTCATCAAATGCTTCGTGTCTCGATTTCATCGAAGTCGAGCCAATAATTTTAAATATTAGCAGAAGAGTATAGTTGGAAATTTTATATTCGAAAGAAAGAGAGGGGGGAGAACCAGAAGTTGGAACAAACCAGAGATTTGTTGACTCGAAGCTTCCTCTTATAATTAAAAAAAAATCGAGAACGAAATATATAAAGGGAAACATGTTTCTGGGGGCGATGCTTGTTTGAAATTTTTTTGCGTTTCTATATATATATTCGTATATTTCCCCTTTTTGATAAAAAGCCGAGGCCGTTAAAAGTCAAAAGAAAATAGTTTCTACGCGGAATAAACATTTCCAGTTTCTTCATCCCGTTTCATTTTAAATTTTCGTATTTATCATTTTCGTGAAAAAGTTTACAAGGGAAATTTTTCTCCTACTATATTATGAAAATTAAACTTATATATCATCAATGTTATTATACGAAAAAAATGTTTAATAATATCTATTTTCTTCTAATTTTCTTCTATATTCTCTTAAAAATTCTTCTTAATTTGAATTATATTTTTTTTATATTTTAAAATAAAAAAATAGTATAGAAGAAATAAAATCTCTCGAAACTCATCTTTTTTTTTCCTGGGATGAGAAAAATCTTTCTTGGAAGAAAAATTAGAAAAAGACCGACCCCTCTCGATCATTTAAGAGGGAAGATGAAATGTAAATAATCCCTTCGCTCGATATTTAACGTGGCTCAAGGAAAATTGACTCCACTGTCTTTAATCTAATCTGCGTCTCGATTTCTCTCGTTAAACAATTTCCGAGAAAGAGAGAGAGAGAGAGAGAGACGATCGTTCGAAGGGAAGAGGACATCTGCCTTTGAGCAATGCGCCATTTTAGATTCTCGAGTAACGCCAACAAGTTTATCGAATACACGACTCGCCGTGAAATTAATATTTCTCGTAGCTGCTAAGTATAATACATCTTCGAAATCTTGCTTCGTTCATATTTCACCTTTGAAGAGGCAGGTCGTTGTTACGGATGTCGTACGCTAAATATGAAAGATTATTAAAATGTAAAGCGTATTAAATCGATTACTTCAAGTTTTTTTGTTTTTACTTCGAACGTGAATCGTTCTGATTAATCGAAAGTATAAATTTTCAAGCTTCGTTAATTTCTTTCTCTTTCATCAGAGAGAATAACAAAAATTTCTTGGAGGAAGGAAATTAATCATTTTGTATTTAATAATGAACTAGCAATTAAAAGAGAATATGATGAAAATTTGGCCAATATGTATCATGAAGGATAATATCAATAAATGAATTTGATAATTCATATTATAATCCACAGATAGTAAATGATAAAATAATCATAAAACAAAAATATTTGAATATTTAATTTTGATCTATGTTAAAAAACTTTAATTCTTCTTGGTACAACAATAATTATTGTTGAAATAAAGTATCAACTCGTGTATCTTCATCTGGGATAAATGAGCTCAAACAATCCAAGAAAAAAAGAAATCCAAGAAATCCAATTCCTATAATATTGCGATAAATTATTCTCAAATATCCAAAAATTTCTTTTTTTCCCCCTCCACTTTGATTTATCACGAAAAACGAGAGATTAAACGAAATCCAGGAAGAATGAAAATATAAAGTTCACGTTAAAAGATTTTAAAAAATGATTTCTTCCCGAGGAAAATATATCATCCTTTATCACGATCCGGATATAATTTTTCCTCAATGAGAAAATCCTATGATCGGATGACACGAAATTAATTTTTGCTCCACAAGATATTACTCGTGTTTAAGAATGAAAAGGTTAATCATACGCGCGAACGAGAGAGAAAAAAGGAATAAATTAATAATAAATTAATTCACGTTCTATCTTCTTTATTACGATTTCACAATCTCACATCTTTTCTAACTCGTGCGAATACGAATCATTTTTCCCTTCCCCTAATATTTTATTAAGCACTTCTCCTCGCTTCATCCCCGATTATTTCTCTCTCTGCAACGTCCAACGTGAAATTCTTCTAAATTCTTCGCCGTTGAATTATTATTAACTTCGATAACTTTAGCTTGCTAAGGTGTATGAAGTATTTTTCGTGAGTTTACCGTAAATTTACAAGCTATTCTTCCAATCCAAAAACGTTAAACATCTCTCCGCTTCGCCACGATAAATTCGCACGCCACGAAATTCGAATTGATTCAGTGTCTCCAAAATATTAAATGATTCACCAGTATCCAT